GAATGCCCTTGACCAGGAATCAAACTCACAACCCTTTGGTCTGCCAGTCAATGCTTGAACCACTGAGCCAAATCAGCCAGGGCTAAATATATCATCTTTTAATACATCTTTTACATAATGCATTTTTGTTATAAATGTCTCAGAATTTCTCTCTAATATAACCATAGTTCTATTATTATAATACCTAACAAGCAATACCCAAACAAAACTTGGTCATTATATTTAATTAATGTGTCTTCCAAGTTCCTTTGAAAGAGAAAAGATATAAAATCCTGTTCTCATTATCTAGAGATGTATTGGCCAATTTTCACAAATACAAATATTTTGTTCAGAATTATACCAATATTGAAAAACTTCAAATGAGGAAATATTTTCTAATATAAATTTCATTAAGTCAATTTAAGTTCTTGATTAATTTACACAATGAAATTAAACCATATTATTTTTTTCCAAGCTAGAAATAATTGCTTTATTTTCTAATTTTTATAGCCTTTGATTTAGAAATATTTTATACTCTATGAAAATCAGTAAGCATATATTTAGTGCCAACTAAGTAGGACTCCATGCACATTGTTACTATAATTCTATATAATGTAGCTATATAATTCCTTGTATCTCATTCCATCTATTAATTATGGGCTTGTTGTGACGAGGAACTTAGTTTTCCTTCTGGTACAGGTTTAATAAATGTTTGTTGAATCATTTAATACTGAGATACTGTGAATATTTTATTGCCAAAATTAAAGAATGTGTGAATTTTACTAATTAATGATTTGAACTGAGCCTTAGCAGATTGCTGTGGTACAACATCAGAAATATACCATGTTGTTATGCCAGCATAATTGTCTAATATGTATGGAGGGGCTGAACAGTTTGTTCTGAAATATTCTTGCCTGTGTCCCAGCTGGCCGTGGCAGCAGGCAATTTGATAACAAAGTGGCCTGTACTTGTAGCTTCAGCAACCTGGGAATCTCAAAGCTCGGAAATGTTTGGTTTCATCAAGTACAATGACATTCATTTTTATTGATGTTATATAATTATATGTCCCTTCTCAAACTCCTTGCTTAGTGAATTTGCCTGAATAAAATCTGAAAATTCTTTGCCATTCTGCCACATTCTCTCTATCAATTAGTTTGTCCACCCAGTGTTTCTTAGTGAATATTTTTTAGCATATATTTGGAATTTGTATTTTGTTTTTGCAGACACAGTGATCCCACCCCACCCCCAATGTTTGTCATGGCTGCTTTGTTCATACCTAATGACCAAACTACTTAAAAGTATATCTTTGCCATCTCTTGCAATGTGGTATTTCAAAGGGAAATTGCAGGAATGTGGATTTTATTATTTCTGCTTGGAAAGGAGGTTATGACTTTGATAGGAAGCTTTATAAATGTGTTTTAGAGCCATGCAAAAATAGAAGTGTGATTGAAATGTATCTTCTAGTTTGACTTCTGGGTATTGTTTGTTGGCTCTGTTTTTTTGTTGTTGTTGTTGTTGTTGAGGAAATCCATTTATGCAAATGTTTAGGATTCTTTACTATTCAGTCTTATTTTTTTCTATTTACGTAGGTAATGCGTGTTCACTGAGAAAGGGTGTGTATGCGGACAGAAAGGGCTCCATAAATGTCAGTTTCCTTTTTGTTTGATAAAAGGGAGCAGAACTGCTCTGGAAGAGGTTTCTGGCCCCTGTAATAAGAGCAAATTGCATGATTTCCATTTCCTTTTCTTCCTTCCTTTCCTCAAATTTTAATAGTTATTATATGTGAGTCACCAGTGATAGGAACATGAATGGGAGACGGTCCTGGCCTCAAGGAGTGCATCTTCTTGCTGAGGCGCTTGGCACATGAGGAGCATACAGTGTGCTGAGTGCGCTAAAAGACAGTGGTTTGGGAACCCAAAGAAGGGAACCACTCTGGGCTTCAGATTTGAGGGAGAGAAGACAAAGCAAGAGTCAGGCAGGGGCTTTTCACTAGGACACTAGGGGTGAGTGGAAGATAACAGATGCATGGGGAAGGATGTCTCTTCTAGTCAGAACAGACAGTGTGAGCAAAGGCAGTGGCTGATTAGGAGCATGTGAGAGAGAGACTTGCACTGGGCTGACATAGCAAGCTAGCAAGTTTTTCTTCTTTGGTGGCAATCCTTCAACTTTTAAGTCCCAGGACTTAAAATTCCATCCCTAGACCCATTTACTCTGCCCGCTTTCCGTTACTCTTTAGCCCTTTTCTTCTACTTCTTGCACTTTTTCCCCCTTGACAGGATGTGGATAGAGTTTTCCAAGTTCTTATTTTCTTCTTGTCTAGGAAGACAAGTGCATAAGCCCTTTTTGTCAGGATTTTACTGCTAATCTCTCTGAGGAAACAGAGTGACTAAAATAGTAATAAGCCTGAGGGAGTCATAAGAGTCCCAGACTTCCAGGTCCTTGAAGTCATGATCCCGGAACATTTCTCCCCAAAACTGGAAGCACATTTACTTCCAGTCCTCAGTGTGATTTTCATCTGTGGGGCTTACCATATTCCCTGCTTCCCCTAAGCCTGCACTTAAAGGCCATCTGACTCGTACCTCTGTGATACTCCTTTTTCCAGCACATTGTTATGAGGAACACAAAAGAATGAACCGTAATTAATAAGTGCCATTGTCATGAGACAATTTCCAGCTTTTAAGATCTCTCATTATATAGGTTCCTTTTCCCTTTTAAATTTTCACTCTGTTAATATTATCTTTAAATTGAGTAAATAATTAAGTAAAAGCTATTTCATGCTAATTTTTATTAAAGGATACAGTTGTATATACAGAATAATGACTAGTAAGCATACATAAATATGTACAGCAATAACAAAAAATGATAGCATATTTGTTTTAGCAGTTGCACATTGGGAAGTGCTTTGTTTTCTAAATTTCCCAGTGAAACAAAATGAGCATATATAGCTTTTAAAATGGGAAGATAAGATACTATGTATGTATTTAATCAAAGTAATCCTGAGGGTTTTCTGTTTTAGGTTAGAAATATGACTGGAAAGAGCAGATTGCTATAATGTTTGATTTTGCTCAGGATATTTACAGAAATTTCTTCTTAAGTTATGCTTTTAGAATTTACTTAAAGGAACTATAAGAGCTTTACAAGTTTAGTGAGAAATGACCTGATGAGGTCTGTGTTTTAGAAAAATAAATTGTTACCATACTTTTTCCTTACCTAATTTCTGTTCTTGCTACCATACTTTTTTCTTACTTTTCTAATTTCTGTTCTTGATAGCATGCTTTCCCGTTACCTGTCTAATTGTTTTAAAGGATGGATTCCTAAAGTGAGGGAAGATAATTCAAGGCTCGGGTTACCTAAACCAATTACAAATGGAAAGACATGTAATCTATAATTTTGAAAGTAAAAGCATGAGCCACAGAATGAGACAGTCCTGGTTTGAATCCCAGCTCCATTATGAGTAGCTGTGTAGCCATGAACATGTTGCTTAACTTTTCTGAGCTTTGGTTTCTTGATTTGTGAAGTTGGAATAATCATAATGACTACTTCATGGAACTGTTATGATGATTAAATTAAATAACATGTGAAAATACTTAACATAGACCCTGGCAGAATATGAGAATCAATGTATTATTTATTGCTATAACATATAGAACTCAGATTTTTTAATCCACTTCTATTCTTCTCACACAAATCAATTATTAAAATATTTACATCTCATTAATGGGGTATTCTATCTCAAAGTGACAACTTTTTATTTATTTATTTATTTATTTATTTATTTATTTATTATTTTAAAATTAAAATTATTGGGATGACATCGATTAATAAGGTTATATAGGTTTCAAGTGTATAATTCTGATACCTTATCTTTATATTGCATTGTGTGCCTATCACCTAAAGGTAAATCTTCCTTCACCATATATTTGACCTCCTTTACCCTTAAAATGGGGAAACAGCATGGGAGTGGATTTCATTTTTAACTGTCTTCTACAAAGGACAGCAACTCTCAGCATTAGTGAGTGGCAAGGAAATGAGAGCATTTGTAGGAATAACACATATTGTTGAGACTTAGTAATAAACCCTGGTTATAATTTAGGTTTTCAAGGTTTTAAAGAAGTAGAAAAGAGGCCGAAACCGATTTGGCTCAGTGGATAGAGCGTCGGCCTTCGGACTGAGGGGTCCCAGGTTTGATTCCGGTCAAGGGCATGTACCTTGGTTGCAGGCACATCTCCAGAGGGGGTTGTGCAGGAGGCAGCTGATCAATGTTTCTCTCTCATTGCTCTTTCTCTCTGTAAAAAAACAATCAATAAAATATACTAAAAAAAGAAGTAGTAGAAAATGTTTGAGTAAAACAGAATAAGTAGAGTATTACCTCTTCCTGCAACTGAAAACCATGCATCTGAAGAACTGATTTAAAGAAATCATTGTTTGTATACTGATTTCATCATCTTTGATGCTAGTCTTCAAATCTGAAATAGTTAATATTATGCTGTAATGTTGACACTTCAGTGTAAAATTATAGAAGAGAAAAAACAATATGTGGAAGGATAAAATTACTTTTTTTTTTTAATGAGAAGAGTTTAGAAGTAATGTATTTAGAAATAAATTAAGGAAAAAACCTATGTCATAGAAGTTGTGCTATGTATGTTTGCTAGTTTCGTTTTCATTAACAATAGATAAAACAGTACAACTTTGAGGAAATAGGTTTTGGTAAAAACAAAAAATTCTTCTGGTTTGTTTTACCTCCATATAAAAACAACTACTACTATTACTTCTCCTCCCCCTCCTCTTCCTTCTTCTTCATGAAATAAACCAGTCAGGGAAAGACAAGTACCATATGATCTCACTCATATGTAGAATTTAATGAACAGAATAAAGTAACAAGCAAAACAGAGAGAGATTCATAGATAGAGAGCAGGCTGACAACTGTCTGGGGCTGCATGGGTAAGGTGGGGAGATTAAGAAAAAAAGAAAAAAAGAGAAAAAAAATCTCTCGTTGTTTAATGTTTTCTGTGTAATTACAGGGTGTAGGAAAAAACAAGATTGTTGACAGATTCCTTCACCTGCTCAATAGACCCCGAGAATATATCCAGTTGCACAGGTAAGAGAAAAAGACCTATACCTCTTAAGATCTGATTTAATCATTTAATTTTCCTTAGTACAACTTAAAAAAACTTTTTTAAAGTCCCACTGTACTAGTATAAACCAGTTTCGTTTCTGTTCCTCCTGCTCTTATCTCTCCTTTCCTTAAAAGGTAGTAAAACCAGGCAAATTTTATTTTTAAAGTGACTAATACTTTGTAAACATGAATTAATAGATATTTTGTGGATAGAGACTAATGAACATTATATTCTAGGAGCAGATTTCATCAACATTAAGGCTCTCAAATTAGAAGAAAAATATGTAGAGGCTAACTCCTCTAACAGGAAGCTAAAATAGCTCCCAAGAGCAAAACCAAATAATTTAAATTTTACATTTTAAAGTATGAATCTCAGGTATAAGATAAGAAACTAAAAAATATGGAAGAAATAAGTTAGTTTCTTTGCCCTCCTTGAAAACACTTTGTGGATTACCTAAATTTGTGTGGTCATAATGCTATTTTAGGGATAGTTTTTAATCAAATAGGTTTTCTAGACATGAATTATTTTTAGATTTATCAGTTAACTTATTCCAAATCTTTTAAAAATTAAATATAAGCAAGACAATAAAATGGGATTGGGGAAGGAGGGAAAGAGAGAGAAATTAAAGAAAATACCAAGTAATAAGCAACTTAAAATTAGATTAAATTATTATTGTTTTAAGCACAGGTAATTAAAAAAATGTTGTGTAGTGGAAAAAACATTGGATTGAATTACAAGAATTGTTTTCTTGTTTGGCTCCTTTCACTAAATAATTACGTGTTCTTGAAAGATAAGTGTAGGAGAAAAGAAGGCAGCGTTAGTGGGCCAAAAGAAAAGAGAACCAAAGTAAAGTTGGAGGATGGTCAAAACCTAATTCTTGGGATTTGAAGGAGTAACTGGCACTAGATTAGTCCTCCACAGTACGGTTCACAAGTCTGGGAGAAGAACAACTGCCCGAGATAGCTGAGCTGAACAGCCACCAGAACTCCCGCGTGGTGAGGAGACGTCCTTAGACACTCCTGGTATTCGGAATAAAAACTGCTCTACAGCCACCCTTGCAGAGTTTAAAAATAAGCCTTACATGAGCAAGGATGCTTTCTATTTAATATTATTTAGAACTTTTCTCATATAAAATGACTTTTGTATGAGTTTTTCTCATACAAAATTAACTGCTAAGCTGAACAAACTTAACCCTGAGTGGAGGAAGAATATAAAATCCAGACATTCAACAATATAATATTCATAATGTTAATCATTCAGTGGGAAATTACTAGATGTACAAAGAAACGAGAAAATTATTTAATAGAAATAGACTCTAAAATGGTAGATAATGAAATTAGCAGACAAGGATTATAATATAGTGTCATGAATATGGTTAAGCATTTAGACCATAATTTCTTCAACCTGATAAGAGACCTATGAAAAACCTACAACTAACTTATAGTTAATGGTAGTTAATGGTGAAAAACTAAATGCTTACCTCCTATGATTCTGGAAAAGTCAAGGATAGTCAACATTGTGCTGAAGGACCTAGCCAGTATAATAAGGCAAGAAAAAGTACTAAATGGCATACATGCTGAAGTAGAAGTAAAACTGGCTCTTTTTAGAGATGACATGATTGTGAATATAAAAAATCCTAAGAAATATACAGACACACACAAAATTAACGAATATGTGAATTGAATAGAGTCACAGGATACAAGATGAATGTAAAACAATCAAATGAACAATAGGGAAATAAAATTGTAAAAATACTCTTTAAAATAGCATTAAAACATGAAATACTTAGGAATAAATTTATCAGCATATATGCAAGTTTTAATTTGCTAATTTTAATAGGGGAAAATCATTAAACTTCTGTTAGTCACCTGTAGTTCCAGAAAATTTCTAGCCTATTCTCATTTCTTTTCATGCTTCTTTTTTGTAATAATGATACCTTATATAAACCTGTGAGTTTTGACTAACTTTTATATGAAAAAGAAGAATATACTATATCAAAATTGCTAGATGTTATAGGAGACATAGAATAGAATAAGAAATAAAATCTCTTTATTTAAGGAGCTGTAATACTGTTCTTGTTGTAATTATCTCAATTTTTCACGTTTACTGAATATGAAAACTTCTTATTTTTTCCCTTATCTTTTACACATTTCCACCAGTTTTTGTTTTTTTAAAATTTGGAAAAAATAATGAAGGAATCAAAATATTTAACTAGTTTGCTAGTTCTCGCCTTAATAACTTTTTATAAACTGTTTCGGTTTTTGAGCCATGGCAAGACCTATATTTTACAGTTTATGGATGATTGAATGAGCATTGCAATTGTTCATTTTAGGAGAATTTGTGCTGCTTTATTTTGTTTACACTGTGTTTAGTTTTCACTGTTTAGCAATGCCCTTAAATATGTAATTGTTTGAAAGTTTTAATGTATGTATATACTGCTGCCACTTAAGTATATCATGTCAATTTAGAGCAAAACCAAATAATTTAAATTTTATATTTTAAAATAGTTAAGCAGAAAGCCAACTTTTTCTTAAGAATGACTTCAGAATTTGAAATCAGCTCTCAAATTTATGCCCTAGAAAGAAGTCACTTTTTATGAAAGTCTCTTAATATAGTGGAACAGTTTCTCCATTTCTTTATATTGGACAAAATATTTTTAAAGAAAGATATATTAGGCTAAATAACCTCAGTCTGTTCTGATTTTAAATTATGGAGATTACTTAAACAGCAAAAAGGAGGCAAAGAAATATAACTGATATTTAATGATTATTCTTGGGTGTATGTCACACTCATTGTAAACAGGTCTTTTGCTTATGATTTATTTTTTTTTAATAATTATAAGAAGTTTTGATGCATCTTATTTTTGTAGGAATTATTCCTTCTAATTATTGGTATAAAGTTGTTTATAATATCATCTTGTGGTATTTTTAAAAATACATTTTAATTGATTTCAGAGAGGAAGGGAGAGGGCAATAGAATCATCCTATCTAATTCCTATATAATAAAGATGTAATAATCAAATGGTTGTTACGCTGTGAAGCATAATGACTGACCATGTAATGACCAGATCACTCATCAGCAGGAGGGTAGGGCAGTGAACTACAAGCAGGCAGCAGAGAGCTACAGGAAGGGGAAGGTCAGCAAGCTAAGAGGGGGGACAACGGGGGAAGCTACAGAAGGCCGGGGAAGTGGGCGAGAGCTCCTGGTGGGCAGCAGCGAGCTGCTGGTGAGCTACTGGCACATGTATCTGTGTGCAGGGCTACTGGCCTATAATAAGAGAGAATTATTGGTTGGCAACCTCCTGCAGACCCCCTGCTGGGGATAGAGTGTACAACCTGAGCATATGCCCTGACCTGGAATGGAACCATGACCTACTGGTTCATAGGTCGACACTCAACCACTGAGCCACACCGGCCAGGCATCTTATAAAACCACTGAGCCACACCGGCCAGGCATCTTATAAAATTTTAAGTCCCTGGTTCAGTCAATGATATCTTTATTTTTACTCTTGGTATTGGTTATTTATCTTCTCTCTTCATGATCAGTTTTGCCAATACTATTGTTGTGTTCATGCAACCAATTTTTGTCATAGTTGAATCTCTCTTTTATATTTCTTTTCTATTTCAATAATTTCTGATTTTATCTTTATTATATCCTTCCTGATATTTTTCTTTGGATTTAGTGTGTTCTTTATTAAACTTTTTAATATGCATGCTTAGATCATTGATTTTCAACCTTCAATTTATATATGTGTTTGAGGCTATCTATTTTTGAATCTCTCTTTGGGTTTTAGTGTTTTTATAAATTTCTCTTTGGGTCTCAGTGTTTTCATCTCTTAAGTGAGAAGAATAGGCAACATTTCTAATATCTCTTTTAGTTCTATCTTCTCATATCTTTGAATAGGCAAGAAGAAGAAGATATTAAAGGTGCTTTAAAAAGTTTGGATTAGAGATGCATACTTCCTGTCTAGAATGTCTTTTATACCAACATTTTCTTGTGAAATGGCAAATGATAAAGAATTACATGCTGCTTATTTATATTTGTATAATTCTGACATTGGCTATATATGTGTGTGTATTAGAGGCCTGGTGTATGAAATTCATGTAAGGGAGGGTGTCCCTCAGCCTGGCCTGTGCCCTCTCACAATCTGGGACCCCTCGGGTAGGATCCCTAGGCCTGGCCGGCGATCAGGGCCTACCGGGGCTTTCTTTCCCTCTGGCTGCTGGTAGCTGGCAGCTGACCCCACTCCTGAAGCTGCCACTGCTTGTCCTTGCGGGCAACAGGCTTGGGGAGCGATCGCTTAGCTGGCATGGGCCTCCCTCTGCTGGGTAATGGCTGGTTGGCTTTGCGCACCTGCCACAGTGTCCCTGGCTAGTGGCCTGGGCCTTCCTCTGTGGGGTAATCAATCGCGGGGTCTTCCATCCATCACTGCGCAGTGGGAGGGCCCGCCCACTGTTACAGAGCTGCCCAAGGGGTAGCCTGGGCCTTCGTCTTTGGGGAGGTTGATTGCCGGACTCAATCAATCGCCCAGCAGAGGGAGGCTCCGCCCACCTGGCTGGGGCTCCAAGATGGGTCATAGCACAGAGAGTAGCCTGAGGCCTCCCTTTGCGGGGTGATTGTGGGGCGATGGGGGGGGGGGGGGGGGAGGGAGAGGAGGGGGGGAGGAAGAGAGGGAGGAGAGGGGGGGGAGACTAATAACATCGCACCCACCTTGGCTGGCCTGGCACTAGTGCGTGTCATAGTGTGGTCATTCAGAAGGTCTTCCGGACTGTCGTTCTGCTGTTCAGTTGTTGGGTCTATGTGCATATTATCCTTTTATTATTATAGCTAGATAGATAGAGAGAGATGTTATCTATAAAAAAGCTTTCTACATTCAAAATGTAATAAAAATTTCAAACCATATATATTTTTTAAATATATTTTTATTGATTTCAGAGATGGAGGGAGAGATAAAAATGTTAATAATGAGAGAGAATCATTG